AGACTAATACATTATCCAAAATATTGCAAGAAGTGTTTATTTAAAGCTGGACCCCATCCTAGGACTGCTGAACTATTCTCTCTAAGGGGCTGGGGCCCCAGGATCTACATTTTTAACAGACCCCTGCAGTACTTCTAATACAGACGATGGGACAGTGGTCCCTGGACATGTGTTGGGGCACTAGAATCACTCACTTGCATCGAGTTGCTTGGGACTCGTAGTGACCCTATAGATTAGAACTACTCCTGTGAGCTTTCAAGGCTGTCAGTCCTTATGGGAACCGCCGACTCTGTGGTTAGCAGTCCAGTGGGTAACCCATGATAACACCAGGGCTCAGGGAACTAGCATCGTCTCCCCCATAAGATCTCGGTCTCCTCTGACACATTCAAGTGGCCATCATCTAGGCTCTACTTGCAGTCACCCAGGGTCCAGGCCCTCAGCTCCCAGACAGCTCTCTCCATAGCTATAGAGCACCCATTTGCCATCTGTGGTGACACGGTGGTTGAGCACTCAGCTACTCACTGAAAGGTCGGTAGTTCACACCCACCAGCCACTCTGTGGGAGGACGATGTATGTGACAGTTTGCTTCCAAAAAGATTTCGGCCTGGGGGACCCTTTCAAGAAGTACTACTGTGCCCTAGAAGGTCATTGTGGGGAAGACTGGCCTAGACAGCAGTGGGTTTGAAATTGTGGCTGTTTATGCTGACCTGAAATCCTGGTGCCTATAACGAGCATCGTGATCATACCTGCACCTCTGAAACTCCTTAGCGTAAGGCCGATCTTTATGATTCCACATCTATTGATTCCATGGAAGATGTGCAGCCAGAATGCTCCTCAGAGGCAAGCATGGGGGTGAGACTTTGTCTCACATATTTTGGATGGGTCATCGGGGAGACCAGCCCTTGGCGGAGGATAGGGTGCTTGGTAAAGTAGTGGGGCAGCGAAAAAGAGGAAGACCTTGGACAAGCTGGGGTGACACAGCGGCTGGTTTCAACAGCAAGGGTTGCACAGGACTGGGCCGTGTTTGTTGTGTTGTGCACGGAGTCGCCGTTGGTCGGAACGGATTCAATGGCACCTAATAGCAGCAATGCGGATCCAATCGTTGAGCCGTGAATGCGTGGAAAATGTCTTATATCTGTTTGAGCAAGTACGCTCATTCACCAAATTAGCAAGAGTCATTTCTGAGTGGTAGGCGTTTGAGTGGTAAATTTTGTTCTCTACCCTGGTTCCTTGTGTGTGTGTGTGTGTGTGTGTATTTTCATATTGGACACGTGGAGTCAACAGTTTCAGCAGAGCTTCCGGATGAAGACAAGACTAAGAAGAAAGGGTTGGGAATCTACTTCCCAAACACAGCCGGTGGGAACCCTACGGAGCACAACTGTCCGATCCCCGTGAACCACGGGGGTGGCAGAGGACCGAGCAGTGTCTCACTCGACTGTGCATGCATCACAATTAGTGGTGCTGGTTCTACAGCAGTCGGCAGCCGCAGCAATATTTCACTGGCAGCCTCTGTAATGGATCTGGCTAATTTCTTAGGCAGACCCAACTTCATCCTCCCTGGCCAAGTTCACAGGGTCTGTGGCTTATTACGGTCTGATATGCGTTTCTTGCCAACTTTGACTCCTTGCTGTTTGCATTCTCTAAGCCTCTTTACGAATCCTACCTCCATTTCTCTCTCTCTCTCTCACACACACACACACACACACACACACACACACACACCTATGCATGTGTCAACTAGAAGCTTAGGACCAATACTTTTTGAGTTAATACTTGTATATGTATAGACTTCACATACACACACACACACACACGACAATCACAGTGGAGCTCGAGGCTGCTTCTAGAAAGGGGGATACAAGGTTGAAACTGGAGGTGCAACATGCGGACTGTGGCCTGGGAGGGGCTTGCAGGAAATGCCCCAAGAGGTGAACCACAGACAAACACTGTTTCTGATTTGCCTGCAGAGAATGGGAACCCAGAAGTCCACTGTCAGTAGGTGGTCAGGGATTTGGGGGAGCACATCAGAGAGGGGAGATTACAGAGATGACCGAGACGTTCTTTCCTTTGGTCCCTCCCTGGTTCTGGCCGGGTTGTCTATGAGAAGTGTGTGAGGGAAGGTCGAGGGGCAGGCTCCTGGTACAGTACCTGTCACACCTGTGGAAAATAAGCGCTTCCCAAATAAAGAAAAGGGAACTTGGCCAGTAGGTTTTCATGAGCCCGAGCACTGAGCACTGAGCATCTGGACTGCATCTTTCCCCCCCAGCCCCCATCCACCCCATAACAACTATCCTGGAGACCCACATGTGGAGGGTCAGCTGGGGTCAGAGGGAGGACTCACTGGTGAAGGTGATGTTGAAGCCCCGCTTCCCTGTGGAGTGGTCAGTCTGGAACTCGAGACGGGCCACGTGGCCGCTGCTGGTGATGGAGGAGGGGAGCTGGTTCCCTGAGAAGGTGCCCAGTACTGGGGCCTCGGCAGTGGCCCCGTCCTTGATGACCAGGAAATCGAACTGTGGCTCCACATCGATGTCGTTGAAGGCCAGGTGGATGCGGCTCTCGGATCGGGCCAGGATGAGCCAGACACAGTGTAGGTGGTTGCCATAATCCTCTGGGTAATTGGGGGACAGGACGATCCCAGAGGGGCTGGTGAAGTTGAAGAAGCAGGAGACTGCAAGAGAAGAGCAGTGGAGGTCAGTAAGGGTCCCCACACTCTGCCGGGGCCCCTGATGGCTGCCAGAGGAACCGTTCTTTGAGTCGCAAGAGCAACAGACAGAGCGAACAGGTGAAACAAGGTTGGGATGGGCTAGCTGGGGCTCTGAGCTTTGGGCAGGAAACATGCTGGCGCCATGCTGGGCTTAGCATCGGGGACAGTCCCTGTGGCAAAAGGCAGACACGACGGACTTTGCTTTCTCTTGGTGCCCTTGGCCTCATGCAGCGCCTGCATGCCCTGTGACCCCTGGTGTTGGGGATAAACCGTCAATTGAGCGTAAGTGTAGAGTCACAGCCTGCAACCCCTCTTAGCATGGTTTGCAACCTAAGACGCGGGCATTGCTTCATTCAGAGGACAGTCTCGATCTTGGGTGTTTCTCTCTCTGTATGCAGAGTATTATGCACGTACTGCTACCACCACCACGGCTTCCACCTCCACCATCACCACTGCCACCGCCACCATGCTACAACCACCACGTCATTGCCATCATCACCATTGCCACCGTCAACACCAACACTGCTGCAAACACTGCTACCACTGTCACTACCACCGACATCACCCTGCCAAGCATGACCAGAACCATCCCCACCTCTGCCAGCGACCCCACCAACACTCGTCCACCCTGTCATTGCGTCCATTTTGACTCACAGCTCTCCTACAAGGCCGAGTAGGGCTGCTCCGTTGGCTGTTCTAGGCTGTAAAACGGTATAGGGCTACCAGACAACTTAACCATGGTGGTGTTATGCCAATCCACTTCTTTCCTGGTGGGGAAATAACATGTATGCCATGGGAGTTTGGATAACTCCAAGCTATAAAGCTATGCTAAGGAGGCTCTAGCCAAGTCCCCCCACCTTACCAGGGCCAAAGTTTCAAAGCTTTGAAAGCTCTCATCTTGTCCCACTTCCTGTCCCCTCTCCTGTCCCCTCCCCTAAGGATTGGCTCCTCAGAAAACCCCTTCGTTTGCATTCTTTGCCTAATTAAAGAAAGGCCCAACAATAGAGACCAGGTGTGAAACAAACAACAAACACTAACGGAAATTAAAAAGGAAAATAATACAAAGGAAAAACAATGAAACGAATATGACAAAGGGTCAATATCAATGTTGAATTAAGAGCTTTTATACTTCTTTAAGAATATCACCAAGGCCTGCATGGTTAAATGAGCAGAGAGGGATTCACCAGGGGACTGATATAGGAGATAACAAAGTAATATGAGAACACAGTCCATTTCATTAGGGAAAGTTAAGCAAAAACCTGTAAAACTCAATACCGTTGCCGTATCCTTGAACTAGTTTGTTCATTCATGGCCACCCACAGGGTAAAGCTGATATAACTCTTTGGGAGAGAGAATACAAATTACCAACAGTCATGAGACCATTCAAATGCTCTAACCCATTAATCTCTAGAAATTAATTCAAAAGAAAAAAGGCCATATGGACAGTGATGTTTATAGTGATGTAATTTTATTGCCGAAAAAAATTGTGAACAACTTATATGTCTGCCTGATAATGTGGAGTAAATTATAGTGGTTAATGTGATGCAGTTTGAAAGGAATCATTAAAGTGATAAATATGACCCTGCAGAAAGAGTAATATTAAAAATCATTTAAAGTAAAAATAGTAGATCATAAAATTATATGTACACTTTTGATCATAGCTATTAAATGTTTATTTATTTATTTACATATAGATAAAAACTGGACATTAGCCAAGAAACAAAAATTGTATAAGGGGTAGTGGATTTCCTTCCAAGATGATAAAACGTATTTAAATTTTCTGCTTGCAAAACTAATATAGGTTCATTGTTTAAAAAATGAATAAATGTTTAAAGTGAAAACTATGGACAAACACTTAAATCCCTTTATAAAATCTCTATTGATGATTGGTGTTAATAATATTGACACTGAAGTAAGAATTCATCACCCGTCTGCGGCGGCTTGTGTGTTGCTGTGATGCTGGAAGCTATGCCACTGTTATTTCAAGTACCAGCAGGGTCACCAATGGTTAACAAGGTTTAGCAGAGCTTCCAGACTAACACAGACTAGGTACAGCGATCTGATGGTCTACTGAAAAACAAAACCTGTCCGGTGAAACCCTAATGAACACCAGTGGACATCTGTGAGATGAGGGCTGGAGGGTGAGCCCATCGCGTGGGAAGGCACTCATTACACAGCGGCAGGAGCTGGCTCCTCAAAGCAGAAGACTGGATGGAGGGAGTGAAACTTGCAGGACCTTCGTTTCCTGGCGTGGCATGACTCAAAACGAGAAGTGGCAATTGTCAATGTCCATTAATAATTAGAAGGTACAAAGTATGAACTAGACATTGGAAGTTGTCAAAAATAGAATGGAGTACAAGAAGGGAAAACTGTTTGGAAACTGATCGTGGTAGCAATTGCACCTCCCTTCTTGATAGCATTGAACTTTTGTCTGGTATAATGCCCAGATTATGCCCTAATGAAATGGTTGGAAAAATAAATAAAAGAAAAAGTGCAATGAACAAAATGGAATGCATATTGATATCCTGAGCATTACTGAGTTGAAAGGGAGAGTACTGGCTAATTTTAATCTGACAATCATATGCTCTACTATCCCTAGAATGCCAAATTGAAGAGGACTGGCGCCACAGTCATTGTTGAAAGCACTATTTCAAGATCGATCTTGAAGCACAATACTGTCAGTGATATGATAATAGCTGAGTGTCTCCTAGTCACACCTGTTATTACAACTGTTATTCACAGACTCATGCCAAGAAGAAGTTGAAGATATTTACCACATTCTACCATCTGAAGTTGAGCAAACATTCAATCAAGATGCATTAAATAATTACCAGGACTTTGAATGAGAAATTTGGAGCAAAAAAAGGAAGATCCGTAGTTGGAAACTAGGATCTTAGCAATATAAACGAGGAAGGAGATCACATAATAGAACTTTGCAATAATAACTTATTCATTGCAAGTGCCTTTTTGCAATAACATAAAAGGCAGCTAACTATATGATGGGGCTTCAAAAATGCTGTGGGGAAAATTAAATTAAAATGGGTTCCATGAACTTTTAGGGGTGGCGCATACATGTGAGCTCACTGTCTGGACTACACAGGAATCAGACCCACGACATCACAGGAAGAGCTGATGGACAAGCTCTGCGGCGCAAAGCAAGGGCTGACTCGAACAGACCATCAGGGGCTCACAGGCAAACTCAAGTTGAAGCTGAAGAAAATTCAAGTACATTCATGTGAACCAGTGTGTACGATCGTGAATATATCCCACCGATATCTGGGGGCCAACTCAAGACTAGATTTGACATATCGAGAACGATATAACCGAGGAACAGATACGTGGGGCACAACAAGGAGATCATCCATGAAGACACCAAATGGTCATAAAAGGACAGAAGGAAAGAAAATAGTAAAATGAACGTCAGAAGAGAGTCTACAGCTTGCTCTTGAATGTACAGTAACTAAAACTGATGGAATGAACGTTGAAGTAAAACTGCTGAACAGACAGGGCATTCAGCACAGATGAGCCCCTCAGGACCAGTGGTGAGAGTGGTGATACCGGGAAGGTGGAGGGAAGGTGGGGTAGAAGGGGGGAACCAATTCCAAGGATCTACATATAACCCCCTCCCTGGGGGTCGGGCAACAGAAAAGTGGGTGAAGGGAGACGTCGGACAGTGTAAAACATGACAAAATAATACTAATCTATAAATTATCAAGGGTTCATGAAGGAGGGGGGCGGGAGGGAGGGGGAAAATGAGGAGCTGATACCAGGGGTTCAAATGGAAAGAATGTTTTGAGAACGATAATGGCAACAAATGTACAAATGTGTTTGACACAATGGATGGATGTATGGATTGTGATAAGAGTTGTATGAGCCCCCAACAAAACGATTTTAAAAAATTGCTAAACAACAGATTTCCTAGTATGGCATGAGTTAATCAAGCAACATGCACAGACCTGTAGTGATAAAACAAAAAGGGAAGAACATGCCCAGCATATTTCATGCTGAAAGAACGGAAGGAAAATAAAATCCTCCTGTTGTATTGGTTGTATGGGCAATATTAAATGACGCAGAAGGCATCAACAGAAGATGGAAGGAGTTACTGTATCACAAGGAACTGGTCGATGTTCAATCATTGCAGGAGGTGGCATAGGATCAAGAACTGATGGTACTGAGGAAAGAAGTCCAAGCTGCAACGAAGTCATTTGTGTAAAAGAAAGGTCCAAGAATTGGAATGCCAGTGGAGCTGCTTGAACAAGTGGATACAATCCTGGAAGTGATAACTTATTAATGCCAAAATTTTTGGAAGACACTTGATCAGTTGATTGTAAGCAATCCATATTTGTACTTATTCCAAAGAAATGTGATCCAATAGAATGTGGAAATTACTGAACAATATCCAATATCATTGATATCCATCATTGATCTGTTAGGCTGTCATATTATGGTATCTTTCGTGTTACTTTGATGCAGGGATATATGTCACAGGTATTTCAAATGGCAGCAGGGTCACCCTAGGTCAACAGGTTTCAGCAGAGCTTTCAGACTACGAACAGACAAAGAAGGAGTAGACTGTCCACTTTGGAGGGATTAGCCATGGGAAGATTTATGAACAGCAGTGGAACATTGTCAGATATAGTGCTGAACGACAAAAGCATGTGAAATATGATTCAGGTGGAGTTACCTTCTCAAAGTAGGGCTGGCCATAATGATATGGATAGAGTAATGCTTTGGGGACCTTCATTTGTTTATGGACCTGACTCGAAAAGAGAGGAAACAGTGGTGAATATCTATTAGTGTAACGGAATTTGGAATGTACAAAGTAGGAATCTAGGAAAACTGGAAGTCATCAGAAATGAAATGGAATGCATAAAGATAAATATACTAGGCAGCAGTGAACTGAAACGGACCGGTTTGGCTATTTTCAATCAGACAATCATATGGTTTACTATGCCAAAAACGAC